ATGCAAACGACATTATGAAACAATGTACTCTTGTCTCTTGATACCACCAGAAACTACTAGATTCTTGACGTCATCGCAACGACGAGCTCCCTCTAGCAAACAACTAAATTAAAACATTAAAAATATAGCTTGAAACACAACAAATTAGCATTTTACAAGAAATGCAGTTTATTTTAACAATAAAGTAAATACCAATTTATTTTGGTTTCTTAAACTCTACAAATTACCCTATAAACACAGATTCATCTGGAGCCAAAAAAGTCACCACAAAGTATCTATACATATTAAAAGCTAAATATCTCAAGTATATCAGAGAACATTTGAAGAAATATTGGAGCATTATAAAAGATTTTGTGTTTTGAATTTCGCCCAAAGCTACACGAGGGCTATCTGCGCTAGCCGCCCCTAAATTAGCAATGAGAGACTAGAGGGAAGGCAGCTAGTCATCATCAACCACCGCCAACTCTTGGGCTACTCTTTTACCAACGAATAGTGGGATTGACCGCTACATTATAACGCCCCCAAGGCGAGCATGTTTAGTGGGACGGGGATTCGAACCAGTGGCCCTCAGATTGCGAGTCGAGCTCCCTAACCACCTCGCCATTGCCAGGCCGGTATTGAAAGAAAAAGGACAGGTATTGATTCATACATAACGGTCATAAAGCTCACTTGATTTCACCAAACATTAAAAATTACTGCAAACACTGTCTAAAAAATATTCAATGCTATTATCACCGATATTTTGCTGTCCTCCTTCATTGTCTGAATCCCCTTCTTCCTCCAAAGTTCTTGAATTCTTTGTAAACTTGCTTTGGTTGGTTATGGTGAGAAATCGTCTAGCCTACAAGAAAGATGTTAATTATTTTTAAAAATAGAGTAATTAGGCTATCTTCCCCAGATTTCACCAGATTTTGTCTGGTATCGCAGTTTCATCCTGTTTGCCACCAGGAACTATTTTCCAAACCTCATGGCAAATTTCACCATCTGGCAACGCTGGTGGTAAGGGATAAAAGGTCATCCCATCTACAAACGATGGGCCTTGGAAATAACAAAAACACCAAATGGACTTGATGGACGAACATTGTAGTATAATGTTTTATTTATTTTTTGTTTCTTCAAGAGACTTCACAATTTAGGAAGGAGCAGTGTTGTAAGCAATATTTTCCTTGTTTTAATGAACGCATTGCGTAAGTTTATGAAAGCAGTCCTAGCATATCTAGAATTTTCGTAAATGGTAGTGAAGAGAGACCTTTCAAAATATTTAGAAATAAGGCTACATTATAAATACGAAAATCAGTGAAACATTCAGTCAGTTTTTCAGTATCATTTAGGAGAGAGCCAGTTAAAGTGAAGTGTTCAGATCAGTGTTAGATATCGCATATATATTCAGCTATCGATTGATTAGCCGTGAATTTCTGCAGGTAAGTTTATCTGTACGCTAATCATGGTGCCATTAGCGTGTACGCTTCTGTTGAAAGTGAAACCTTTGTTGGTGAATAAGTGATAGTCGCCTGTAGTAAACGTTAAAGAAAAAAAATAAACTAATTTATTATCGTTAAGTAGACTGGAATTCATATAATTTTTAACACATGATTTTAAACTACATGTCCGAGGAAAGGACACGTGGCAACAATACTTCCCCTAGGACACGTGGCAACAATACTTCCCCTACTTATCTTGTACTTGAACTAAAGTTAAACAAATACAAACGTTTGTTTGTTTTGAATTTCACGCAAAGCTACACGTCCCTAATTTAGCAATGTAAGACTAGAGGGAAGGCAGCTAGTCATCACCACCCACCGCTGATTCTTGGGCTAAACGTATAATTACATAATCAGTACAGAATATTAATTGTTTGTTTGTTTTTGTGAAAATGTTAGGTGTAACTTATCATAAAACTGGTTCTATTGTTGCTTACTCGTTCTACACGTTCAAACCATTGTGAAAACTGATTTGGATTAATGACGTATTAGTGTGAAAATGTTAGGTGTAACTTTTCATAAAACTGGTTCTATTGTTGTTTACTCGTTCTACACGTTCAAACCATTGTGAAAACTGATTTGGATTAATGATGTATTAGTGTGAAAATGTTAGGTGTAACTTTTCATAAAACTGGTTCTTTGTTGCTTACTTTTTCTACACGTTTAAACCATTGTGGAAATTGATTTGGATTAATGTTATATATTTTTTACCCAAATTTGATATCAGGTCTTTAAGTGATTCTATCAAAAATTTTTAGTTTTCAGTTGATTTTCAGATATTTACGAAATCTAGGTCATTCACTCATTAGAAGCCTTAAGCCTTAATATTGTAGAATGACAAGATTTCCAGTAATGACGTTTAGAGTAAGAAATAAGACACAAAGGAAGAATGTTGTTCACTTCTTTATGAGGAGAAAGAAATTCCTCTTCTGTTGATATGGTTCTCGCTTGAGGAGAGTGAAATTCCTCTTCTATTAATATGGCTCTCGCTTGAGGAGAGAAAACTTTTTCTTTTGTTAATATGGTTCTCGCTTGAGGAGAGAGAAATTCCTCTTCTATTAATATGGGAATTTGAACACCTCGACCACCAGGCCATACCAGGTCCCATAAAGTTTAATATAGGAATTACTTCTAGTATACAAAATTAAACGTGTCAATCCACTTTATGTTGCATTAACGAATCCTTGTAGTCAAATATCTTGACTTTATTCAAGCAAATTTGAGTTTAACTTCCACAGGTGTTGATAATCAATTTAAACTGGCAATAACATATTAATTGTAAACAGTTTTCCCAGATAATCCCGGGCAAAAGTAACGATAAAGTATTCGTCGTTGTTCCAGTTATTGACAAAGCATAGAACTTACTGATCTAGAATCTATTATTCGGGAGAATGTGTCTACGGTCATTTATTACCTGCAATCTGTAACATTAAATACCCAAAAGTAAGTTGCAAGTATCATAAATCCACCAGAAACTGGGTTTAAAATAATATTATTAATGAAGAAGTGTTTGTTTGTTTCTTTTTGAATTTCCCGCAAAGCTGCACGAGGGCTATCTGCGCTAGCCGTCCCTAATTTAGCAGTGTAAGACTAGAGGGAAGGCAGTTAGTCATCACCACCCACCGCCAAAACTCTTGGGCTACTCTTTTACCAACGAATAGTGGGATTGACCGTCACATTATAACGCCCCCACGGCCGAAAAGGCGAGCATGTTTGGTGTGACGGGGATTCGAACCCGCGACCCTCAGATTGCGAGTCGAGCGCCTTATCCATGCCGGGTCTTGACCGTCACATTATAACGCCCCCACGGCCGAAAGGGCGAGCATGTTTGGTGTGACGGGGATTCGAACCCGCGACCCTCAGATTGCGAGTCGAGCGCCTTATCCATGCCGGGTCCAAGCGAGAACCATATCAATAGAAGAGGAATTTCTCTTTCCTCGAGCGAGAGCCATATTAATAGAAGAGGAATTTCTCTCTCCTCGAGCGAGAGCCATATTAATAGAAGAGGAATTTCTCTCTCCTCGAGCGAGAACCATATTAATAGAAGAGGAATTTCTCTCTCTTCCAGCGCATTCTGAGAAATTACATACAATACGATTATTGTTTCTTATTGTATGCAGTAGACGGTTTCTGGCTCATTTTACTTACGAATAAAGAGAATTGTCGGTGTTTTTGTTTGAACGTATAGTTAGTTACACAAAAGCTCTCTGAGCTGCATGCAGCGCGGGGATCGAGTCCCGAATTTTGGGTTTATAAACCCCTCAACTCTTACCGTCGAGTCGTTTTAGGACAATGAAGACACCGATGAAAATTGTTTATGGGCAGAGTTTGGGACAAATAAACTGAATGTGTTTGTATTTAGAAAATGTTTTTATTGGAAAGATGTTAAGATTTATAAACATGATCAATCATTCGAATGGCGGATAGTCCTTTGTTTTGCACAAGTTTTGCTTGTAGTTTAGCCTAAAATGTCACATCAAGCTCATTTCGGTGAGGTTAATTGCTTATGAAAACTATAACATTTTTTTTCGGGGGGATGATAAAAAATGTGTGTTTTTATTTTGATGTGTGAATCGGAATCTTTGGTATTTTGGGTTATAAAGGTAATGTTCGTGCAATATTTTTTTTCAATCGTAGCACTTAACATTAGTTAACTGTACCATATATCCACGATAAAACTCAAAGAATACTGAATATCTACATGTAGAAAGTTTTCTATTTCTGTCTTTTATGTTTAATTATGAAAATAACTGTTTTTTTGTGTTTTTTTTTTTTGCTATTTTAAGGTCTAAATCTGAAAATATTTCACGATCAGAGAAAAGAAAATTAAAAGGGAGAAACTCTCATATTTTATTGGTTAATAGGCCTAAATAATTTCTAGATTAACATCAATACCGTCAATCTCACCGTATGTACTTATGTATATTTGTACTTAATATACCGTCCCCCAGTAGCACAGCGGTATGTTTGCGGACTTCTAACGCTAGAAACCGGGTTTCGATACCCGTAGTGGGCAGAGAACAGATAGCCCATTGTGTAGCTTTGTGCATGACTACAAACAATCCTTTAGTTAGCGAACCTGGACTACTAATCCGAGGGTTCGTGGTTTGCGTCCCGCTACCGTAAAAACTCGCTTCTTACTTTGAAGTCTTGGATGTGTTATAAGCATGACGGTCAAATTGTACTATTCGGTCAGACTATATTAGCCTTTCTTTCTCGTCTATTAGTTCAAAAGTAGGGACGACTATGCGCAGGTAGCCCTTGTGTAGCTTTGCTCGAAAATTCTAAAACGAAACTGACACCAATTCTTTTCGTTTTGTGTTCACGACATCATTAAGAAGAATATCAATCCATAAGAAGAGATCTAACATCACATTTCGTCGTTGCACCAAGAGCAAATATCTTTTTAAAATACCCCTTTGAATTCAGCAAATAAATATGGTTACTCAAAGCCATGTTAAAGTACAAACAAATAAACATCTGTAGGGTTAGCTAAAAACAAACAGCTTGAAAACTTACAGAGGTTCCTGTCGCCACGAAATATAGCATGGAAACGTAAGAAGTCTGGTCTGTTCGCAAAGTCTTTACTCTTACCGATGAGGACTTCCTTCATGGCTGAGAGGGAGCTGACCACGACGCATTTCCGGGAACCTAGAGTTAAGCCGTAAACATCGCCGTATACTTTCCGTAGTGCAGAGAACCCATCCCAAGGGTTATTATAACGACCGATGATGTGAGAACAACCGAGGACAGGTAGCCCGCGTGGTCCAGGAAGAACCCGGAGATTGGAAAATTTCTCGAGTCTTTTTCTTCTACCGTATAATGCCAATAAAACCAGAAAAATGATCACAACTGATAAGATGAGTGTGACTGGATTTAACGTTGGATGAATCATTTTGATGGCTAATTATCAAGTGCCAACCGTGGCACTATAATGGTAACGCTAAACAAAACCAAACAAACCAATAGTCCTAGAAAGTGTATTTCAAGCAGCTTTCTTTAGGTCTGTCCTAAGTGAGTAGACTAAGCGTATTTATACGTCAGACACCAGAGACGTAAGCTGGAACTTGCTCACAGCCCACCGTGACAGTTTCACTTCCTCCTTAGCCCCACCCCTTCTGGGACAAGTCGTGTAGGCTAATAAGCTCAGAGGGTGTCCAGGTGTTCAGCAAGCAACATTCGGATTAAACAGATGAAAACCACAGAGGAATGGTTACTTTGGCCCAAAACCTTTAGTATATAAAGTAATACGAATTAATCAAAAAGCCCTTTTCGTTTACGTAAATTTAAGAAGGACATGTTGTTAATGTAGACTTTATTTCCGTTGCTAGAAATGTTCTAATGAAAGTATTGATAAAATGCTATACAAAGTGAACTCAAGCGAAAATGTAATTCGCTCTATTTAGATTTGAACTCTGACCTTTATTTGACCCACCAGTTAAACAGGCCCAATTATTTATTTCTTCTTTCCACTTTTTTTTTCTTTCATTATAATTAATTTTTCTTGCAACATTTTTTTAAACTCCTATTTCTCCCCGGCAGTTCTTTAATGTTTATTAATTTCCACTAGCTTTTATTTCGTGATTATTCCATTTTCAACGCATTTTCATGGCATGCGCATGTTTTACTGACGTCACGACAGTACAGATTGCAACGTTAACCGTCCTTTATGTAGCGTCATTTTAGTGTCTACTGACTGACTGACTAATAGACAATCCACTACTTTCGTGTAAAACACTCGAACTGTTGTTGCACTCGGATTTACTTTGCCAGTGCATTTGCACCCCCTCCCAGTGGTTCAGCAGTAAGACTGTAGGCTTACAACGCTAAAAATTGGGTTTCGATACCTGTGGTCGGCGGAGCACAGATAGTCCGTTGTGTAGCTGTGTGCCTAAACCAGCAAACAAACAGTGAATTTGGTGGCTCCCTGTTATGGTTACGATAAAAAGGTGGCAATGATATGCATAATTTTTAATAGTTTTTAAACATATTTCTTGCATTTTAGATTAAACTTGGTTTGCAATTTTTTTTTATTATATTACGATATTTATACACAGCGAGATTAATTTTATTAGTTACACAATATTCTGTAAATAGTTTCGATAAATGAATTTTCTTAATATAACGCTTATAATCCGTACGTGTGAAAGTTTCATTTTATGTACGTTTGAGTTTAAAAGTTAAGAGGATATCTATGTACTAACTTATCATGTACAGGCCTCAGGTACGGTGGCTCAGCGGTAAGTCTGAGGGTTTATAACGTTAGAATTTGGGTTTCGATATCCGCGATTCTTAACAATAAACAGCAATTCATGTACGGTCTCTCGTGACGTCAGTACTTGGTTTTATTCATTTATAATGCACCGGATGTCTCCTTTTTTCGCGCATGGTATATGTCGCGCTTTTTATGTAATGCATTCATGATGTATATCCCCCTGTTTTCACGTAATGCGTTATGTAGATCCTCGCGACTTTCTTACGATATTTTAATTAAACAAATTGCCAAAATGACCAAAGAATGAAAAGCATGACTTATGAATAATTTTACATTCTCAAATTTCTGAAAAATATGATTTCTTCTCAGTATTATTTAATTAAGTCGTATGTTATAGTGTTTTGTGATCATGAATAATGTAATGTTTTTGACTTACTATGAGAGTTAGTTTAAATTAACAAATAAAAAATATTGCTATTTATATAACATACTTTGGCATTTGCATAAGTAAATATATATTCTTGCTATATTTATTCGAAGTTTCTGAATATTATACTCATCACCATGGTTTCTGTTGCTGTCTCTTTAACTCTATCATTAAAACCTTCTTCTTCATCGGTGAAGGGAGGGTCAGGTTCAGCGTAGACCTCTTCATCCAATAAAACCTAGATTTTGGTTTGGTTTGTATTGGATTTCGCGCAAAGCCACGTGAGAACTATCCGCACTAGCCGTCTCTAAACTAGCAGTGGAAGACTAGAGGGAAGGCAGCTAGTCATGACCACCCACCGCCAACTCTCGTGTTACTCTTTTATTAACGCCCCCACGGCTGAAAGGGTGAGCATGTTTGGTGGGACGGGGATGAAACCTAGATGAAAACAGAGTAATCTGATCTAATATAATCTAATCATATATGAATGGAAACTCTACCTTCTTATTTTAATGTCACCTTTGTTCTTTGTCATTCCCTTGGAGATAACACCTGGTTTGTCCGTGGGAGGAGATGGTTTGTTTTGTTTTGAATTTTGCGCAAAGCTACAGGAGGGCTATCTGCACTAGCTGTCCCACTGCTGAAAGAGGAAGCCTGTTCGGTGACAGGGATTCGAAACCATGACCCTCATATTATAGCATTAAAGCTGCATGTTGTGCATAAAGCTGAAAAACAGTGTCCTTCAAGTTAGATTAGGTGACATCTGGAAATTATAATCTCCATCATGTCTGAATTTAAATGCTCAGTCACTTGAAGTGCTAGTTGCTGTGGGTAAATCTGAAATTACTAATTTAGTCAAGCAACGTCAGATGTATTCAGTCTTCAGTGATTCGGTTAGCTTGGATATAAGTATCGAGGTAGTATAGCCAATCTTATCAATTTTACACTCCAGTAAAGACACTGTCCACTGTCCAATTATTGGGTGTCACACTTTGTAACTAATCGGATTATTTCTTAGTACAGTTAGTTTTAGCGAAACGTAGTATTAGTTTACAATATATTTTGCCGAATTACTAGTCATACAGCTGATCTTACGGGAAAGTACCACACCTGTTCCTAGACGTTATGCTATGAACTCTCGGAGAATTTTAAAGCTTATTGCTGAAATAAACAGACTTACTGTAATGGCTGGAGACGGCTTGAATGGGTAATGAAGAAAAACTTTAATATAACAGCAAATGTACAACGTTTCGACAAGGTTTTGAAACGTTGTACATTTGCTGTTATATTAAAGTTTTTCTTCATTACCCATTCAAG